GAGTGTATTTCTGATGATATGAAAAAAAAGCTCCTTATAAAAAATCATCAGCCGTTCGGAGGTGGCTCTGAATAAACTGTAGGTGCGTGTTAGGAAATCATCATAACCTCAAAATCAGAGTATTTAATTTAAGTTTCTAGTTACAAAAACAATTTCCATTCGAATTTATAGCCACTTTTATAAACAATTACACGCAGCTTATCGCACATTGGGAGGCCATAAAAATTATGAAACATCAGCATTTCGAACACAAGCGAGGATGATAAACGCATAACGAAATAAAACAAAAAAATAATAATAAAACCGAAAAAAATGTATGAAAAATGTCCAAGAATCATAGCATGTTAACAACAACAAACAAACCACTCAGAGTCATCAGATAAACGCCAATCGGTCAACTATTATCGATGTAAGTAGCCATGCTATGAATAATTTAGGATATGATCCCTCGATAACCGTTAAGCGGACAACTGAAACGACCGCACAACAACCAACTGAAAACAGCCATCACAGCAGGCCATAACAGGCCTGTCTCCTAAGCTCACCCTGACTCTTTCTCTCTCTCTCCACCTCTAACCCTCTAACCCTCTTTGTCTGTATTTGCGGTCGGCTTGCCTAAGCGCCACGCCAATGTGGCTACCACTAATCCCGTCGATATTGCAACTAAATGACAAGCGCTGATGTTGTCATTTCATTCAATCATAAATATTAAATAAAATACAGTTCCGTACATACATACAAACCCTCACATACATATATCAAGTATCGCCGTTAAACCAACAAAAGCGTAAAGAAGAAAATGAGCGAAGTGAAACGGAATGTGGCACACGCAGGCCACTGGTTATCGGTCGGTTGACCGGGTGGGGTCGAGTGGTTGGCTGGTGGGTGAGTTGGTTGTTAAAGTGGCCGCTGGTTTGCTGGAATTTAGGTCGGTCAAATATATGTACGCCACCCGGGTGTGTGTGTGTGTGTGTGTGTGCGTGTCTCTACCGTTCGCTCAATATTTACAGTTTATGTTTTTTTCTTTTTGTTTTGATTTTTTTCCTTGTGATTTTTTTCCTTGTGCTCTTTTTTATGTTGTTATGCTTTGTTTATTATTTGTTACTTTCTATTGTTGTCTTTGTTGTTGCTGTTGTAGTCCTTTCGTTTGTCGCAATCGTAATCGTTCAAATTCGATACGCCAATAATTGATGACAAGGCAGAAATTACGAAAACTAACGGTGCTTATTGTTTTCATTGCAGCGCTTCCGTTCTTCTGAAGCCGAGCAGAAGTGTGGAAGTGCGAGTGGGTGGGGGGAGTTCCAGTTTTAGGTTAAAATTTAAGACTGACTTTAAGTGGAGATGGAATTGAAATTTGAACAGGGTGACACGTCATAAGCCGGATTGAGATTTACTCAAAGGAGTGAGAGTTTTGAAAATCTTCGGGGCAGACTAAATCTCGTTTGTCCAGAAAAAGCTTTGGGATTGTAGAAATAAAAATAAGATAAACTCAAAAATTTTTTTTCTCTTTTGTCAGTTATAAATCGTTACTCGGATTAAGCCTCAGTGGCAAAAACTTTAGCTTAGAGACAGAATGGGGCCTGTAAATGCATAGCGTGGCTTTCACAGCTGGGCTTCTGGGTGTGCAGTAACAGCTGAGAGATTATTCCCAATTCCTACACTTCGGTCCTCGTCGCACAGCCTGGAAACGTGAATAACTCATGTGTGAGATGAGGTAACTAACCCATGTAAAGTCCTGGGCAGCGGTGCTTTAGTGGAGCCTCTCCGACGTTCCGCTTTAAAGGATAACTAAAACCCAACTGCAGTATCTGCACACCTGAGTTGCGGCTATGAGTGAGCGTCGGTTTTGATACAAATGGAGCGCTTTAAAAATGTGTTCCAGCTTACTTTCGTAGCGAGGTTTTGCACTAAACTGAGGATCCGCCATGCAGAAACTAAAAAGAAAATAACACTGCCTCGGATGAGAGACCTCAACCTTCGATGATGACCACTGCAGGCGTTTTAAAGGTCATCATTTAAGGGCATGTATTGAGAACACGTCGCTGCACAGCTGGTATGTGTTCTGGTAAGACTTAGGGCCGACGCAAACTAGTGTCTCCTTGTGACACACACTATAGTAGTCAATCTCTGAATAATTGTTTGATTGTCAGGACAAAGAAGAGATTACACTGAGACCCTGTGAATGCAAAAGTGCTAGGTTTACGCAGTTGCCACCAAGTAGATTAAACTTTTGGGCTGAAATAAATGGTGTCCGTTCTTTCTTTCAGTTTTTAGAGATTGTTAAAAGATATTGATATGTTTCATAAGTTCAGATCCTTCACGTAAATCATAGAGCTCATGTAATTTTTAATACTATGTATGATGTGCTCGGAAGGCAACTCTGTCCAGAAGTCTGTACTCACGGCTGTTTTGCGGTGTTTTATATGTTTTGAGTATATAACCTTGAGAACCCCCATAAAGATTTCGATCCGAGCCCTTTTTTCTAGTTTGAGGGTGTGCGTCTTAGATAAATGAATTGGACTACAGCTCCATATCGCCTCCGAACAGCAGATGAATTTTTATGAAGAGCTTTTGATTTCTTTTGAAAAATACATACTTTCGCATAGATCAATATTCCCCGCAGAGAGGCGATCGCATTTTGAAATATCTTTTTTCCACAAATTTGGTTGAAGGGGACTTCCTTTTTTATACATATCTATTTAGTATACACTTCGCTTTAAATTTACAATACATTTTTCTTATCTTTTTTAGTGGCGAGAGCAACCTAACGGCATACGCTCCAAATAAAGGAAATATTTCTGAACTTGTGAAACACCATATAAAAAAGGCCGTGTGCCCACTTCGTTAGTAAAGATTCGTATGTGGGAATAACTGTATTGCCAATATATTGAATTTTTCTACTTTTATTGCTGCCGACAGATTGACTGACGAACTGACGAACTGACTGCTCCGACATATGTATGAACAATAGAAAAATATCTGTCTGTTTGTGTTGAAATTCGAAGTGAAATTCTCTTACCCGGAAATTGCACAACCTTTGCAGAATTTTACCCTTTGTCATTTATGGCTCGTACATGACAATTTGTCGCAAATAAGCAATACTCACATATGTAGGTATGTACATACATACATACATACATACATCTAACGTCAAAAAGCCAGTAAAGAGCCGACTTCCGATTAACGATGCCAAACTGCTGCTGCCGCTTGATTGCCCAGTGACGCCATAGTGATGCCACGCGTGGTCATTTGGGGTTCCCTTTTCATTCTTGTAGGCATTTTACTTTTGCTTTCAGCTTTTGGTAACAGCTTTTGGTGGGAAGGCTGAGAATATTTTGCTCTTTCCACTTTTTTTTTAATCAATACTCATAAGGTTTTGTTGTTGTGGCAGTTAATCGCGTGGAGCCGCAATTTCTGTCGAATGTTGATTTGTTTATTTGCTCAATAATTTTCTGTCTCTGCTTCTTCTTCTTCTTCTTTTTCTTCAATTTTCTAGGTTTTGTAATGTATGTTTTGTTGTTTTTATTGTTTTTGTTTTGTTAAAGTGAAGCATGTTGGCGACGTTTCCGGCATAAATAACCGACATTAACCACAACCCAGTAAATGAGACAAATGAGTGAATGGTTCTGGAGAGGCAAAGGAGTAAAGGAAACATGAGGTTCGTTAATTTTTATAGAGTCAGCGGCTAATCAGTAGTTCAGGGGTTCATTGGAGAGGTTAAAGTAGTGTTTGGAAAAGCTAAATGGATTTGTATTTATATTATTTATAGCATTTTTAAAACCAATCGTGCATATACTCGTACATATGACAGCCTGAAGGAGCCATTTTAGTGGAGAGAGCTTTTGTACTTATTTCTTTATTTATTTATTTATTTTGCACTTAAATTATTGTATTTACTTTTAGAGCTTTTGGAATTTTTAATAAATTTTATTTTAAATTTTTTCGTGAAAGTATTTTTTTGGTTTAAGAATAATTATTTATTTCATCTAAAATTTTTCTGTTTCCTGTAGAGCTTTTTTGAGCTTTTGAAATTTTTAATTATTTTTATTTTGAATTTTTTCGTGAAAGTATGTTTTCTGGTTTAAGAATTATAATTGAATTTCATTTAAAATTTTTCTGTTTCCAAGAGAGCTTTTTAGAGCTATTGAATTTTTTCATTATTTTTCATTTTATTTTTTTTTGTGAAAGTATGATTTCTGGCTTACGAACTATTATTGTATTTCAATTAAATTTTTTCTGTTCCAAGAGAGCTTTTTAGAGCTTTTGAAATTTTAAAATTTTTCGTTTCCTTTAATTTTCTTTTTTTGTAACTTTAGAATTAATATTGTATTTTATTTTATTTGTTTTTTTTTTTTAATTTAAAAAGGAAAAAATTGCTTGGTACTCTATAAAATAAAATAAAAGCTTTTTTGAATTTTAAATTTTTAATTTTTTTTAGCAAATTCTAATATTAAATTCCTTTTACTAATTTTACTTGTCTGATTTGAGTCCCTTTCAATTAAAAAACGTTTCTAATTTTGAATCTTAACCGAAAACTTCCAAATTTGTTAATTTTTTAACCTTTGTCATTATATTCCAGAATTTTTCTTTAAAACAATTTAGTAAGCTGCTTTGAATTTCTTTGCAGACCAAATTTTTTCCATGTTTTATGTTTTAATTTTCTATTTATTTTTTACTTTATTCTGCAAGGTAGCTTTTAACAAAAGTTTATGGCAACTCATTTTCAATTGTAGTTTATTTACATCTCAAGAGAGCTTTTAAGCTTTTGGGATTTCTTATTTCTATTCCAAAAGTTCATTTTTGTAGGGACTTAAAAAGATGTTTTCAAATACATATTTTTTTAATTTGAGGAGAACTTTTTGAGACTTTATAAAATTTTAGATGACCGCTATTTAAACCATTTTATATTTGTAAAAGCTTTTAACTTTTTGAATTTTAATTTTGCATTTATTCAAAGAAAATAATTCTTTTTTATTTGATTTAGCCAGCTGAGTAAGTATCTAGTTCCAAAACATTCTCTTAACAAGACGAACTGTGAAGTAATAAATGACCTCCGTAAAGCTTAAAGCACTGCAGCCTAGAAAGAAACCGATCAGGCCGCCGATATAAACTGAAACGAGAGAATATATAAGTAAATAATATAAAATAGAAATATACAAAAAAATAATAGCTAATGTTAAGCGGTTGAAAGGTATTAATAAGGGGATGGAAGGCAGAACTTTTAAGACAAATAGAATCAGACTAATCTCAATTAGAGTAGAGCTTATTAGCTCTTTTACATCAATAATATGGTGCCAATTGCTTCTCCCTCACTTGCTTCGGCTGGGCTCTTAAGGGTTGAGTAGTGACGCCTAAGCATGTGCGCAGAGAAACCGCACAAGGTAGAGTTGTTTCGACTTTACTGTGAGTCTTGGCAATAGATTTAGCGTTGAGAGACGTGGATGTGGAGTGAGCATCCAGTGTATAAACCTATTCGCTTCGCATTTGTGTGATATCATGCGGTGGCAACTCTGGTCGATAGAAAAGATGGTACAATATTTTCAAAGCGGGAAATATTACCTTCACTCACTCCATGAAAGACTACAAGGAGGTTATCCCGCAAAGAGCTAAATGAGACAGAAAAGTTATAGCATGTTCAGACTCGTTAAATTTCTATACGGAAGGGTAGAAACTCGACAACATAGTCGGTAATAGATTTTCATTCATCTAGGTTTGAGGGTACTCTTTGTGAATTGTCCCTATATTTCCTTGGATAACCTGGCGGTACTTAAAGCCCAGAAATGGTGGTGAATTCAACTTACTTAATGGCTCGGTAGTTTTCTCTGTGTATCTAGTATGGGTTCCAGGAGATAGTAATATACCCGATAACCTGATGGCGGACGAGATTGAAACGAAAGGTTCTCGGTAATTACAATGTGACCAGAATAATGTGGCCGACATGGAATAAAAGAAGGCCAGGGGAGCTTATCTCACTAGAAAGAGAGGAAGTATAGATGCGCTTTTTTACGGCAAGTTTTCTATTTGGAAGGCTATCAATCAACTTTTACAGTCAACGAAGGGAGAAGGAAGAGTCTAAAACCTTAACACACTTTTAGTTTCGAGGGCGGTTAGCGAACTTTAAAGACTAGGGCAAAATACACACATTAATTTAACCAGCAGTTGGGGGTTACTAGGGCCCTCAGTGCCATCAGAAAACCAAAGTGGTGGTTTAAGTAGGCTGATGTCTGGCAACCATTAACCTAACCTAAGCTAAAATAGGATTAAACTGCGTCTGTGGATAGTCGAAAATAGCCTCAGCTGGTCAATGTGCCACTCAGCAACTCTAAGCACTTATTTTTAATTTGACCTTTATTTTTTAATAAACAAAAAAATAAAACAACTTAAGGGCAGTCACTCTGACTAAGAGTTCTCGTATAAACCAGTTAAGAATTACAGATGAATGAAAGAAGCAACGATACAACCATATAAAAAGCTCATTTACCCAATACATCAGCGAACGAGAAGAGCACATCACGTCTCAGCTGCATTTTCGGATAGTCTATAATACCCCATTGTAGATTAGCACCCAAGAACCAAACTCTGGAGCGCTGAAAGTAAAATAAGAAATATAAATTAAAAGAAAATATTTTAAGAGAGAATAATTTTTATACTTCAAAAGCTCGTTTCCCACAAAACAAATGAGAGCTTCAAAGTTAACGAGCTACTTTAGAAATCCCTTCAAAGCTTCATAAATATTAATGCCAACTGTTTCAGCAACTTCGAATGGCAACATTGCAGATTGACGCCAGCACTACACTGGCCAACAACAGACAATAAAAAAAAATTATACTCAAATATGACTATCGATTTCGAGGAAAAATATTTTCCTTCCACTCCACTTTTCACAACACCGACTTATACCGCGCTGAATGGATTACATACCGTTATTTTATACTTACTAGCTAACAGGGGCGGAGGAAGACGGCGAAGGAAAAGTAGTCCTTAACAATAATACTGACAAAATTTTCAATATTGTCGCATTGCAAATACACTCAGTACTACAATTTGCGCTACAATTTGCTTTATATGTACATACAGAGTAGTATAACCGTTACAACAAATTGTCACTTTGCATGTAAAAAAGATATTCAACGAGCACGAACAAAGAAACAAAAAAAAATTCTCAAAGAAATTGACAAAAAGTGTGCGGGAGCAAAAATATTTTTATCGCCAATAATTCGGCATACAAATTGAGCGGGGCAGCAACACAGCAGGAGCGGGCGCACTGCTCCTTTGCTGGATAATGCTGGTAGCACAAAACTATTTCACTACTACTAATAATAACTTTGGGAAATCTGTGGCAATGCATTGCCATTGCAAGTGCAAGGAAGTCAGCATTTTACGGAAATCAGCAGTTGTTGCAGTCATGCCATGTCCTGCCGATCATATGAGGGGAATGTATGTATGTGAATGCATTGATTTTTGCATTACGTTTGCTTTATAACGGTACTATGTTGCATAGTTGCTGAATGTACAAATGCGTCGGTAGATTTACATGCGCAGGGTGTTTTTTACGGCAAGTGAGAACGAAAAAATTTTTTAATTTTTATATTGATTGAAAGCTTTCAAGGACTATCGGTGGATGCGGAATGTCTATTCTTTACTGAAGCCTGCTTTTCATAACAGTAACGGCAGCCCACATAAGTTCTGTTGAAGTCCTCTGTGTCTACTTCAGAGATTTCCTAATGATGATGTCCTTGGTCGCATGATTTGGAGTATAAAGAGCTCTTGTTATGCATAAATCTATCAATAACCACCTTTCAAGTCTTCTAGTGTGCGATTGATTCAAACATTTTCTAATAAAAGAAAAAGGCACTGAATGCTTCAGAGCTAACATAATTGAGATCCATAGTACTTGACTCGAAAACTGAAAGCTGGAGAGTAACAAAATCCGTATATGACAACTTTCTTTCTGAACCATACACACAAGCAAGTCTCCGAGCCTCTTATCTCCCAGCGCAGTTCAGAGTTGAAATCTTGCAGATTAAAACTTAGTGCTTAGTGCTTAGTGCTTAGTTAGAGTAGACGAGTGGTTAGCATTGCGTACTGTCATTCGGAAGGCCAGGGTTCTGGGTCTTGGTTCGACCAACATCTGCAAAATAAGTTTCAGGAGACAAAAGCAACTTGAATAGCTCAGTACTGCCAGTTGTCAATAGTTAAGAGCTAAGAAAATCTAGATCTCAGCAGACTGCATTAAGGAGGTTTGTTGTACGTGTATCCGAGCTGAAAAACTATAAGAGGTGTGATCACCGATGTGAAGCATAAAACACGTGCCCGTCGCTCAAGACCAACTAAGAATATTGCTGCTGTAGCCCAAGGTGTTAATGAAACCCCAGCTTTGTCCATTCCACATCGTTTGTTGGAATTGACATTCCAAAATTGGCATTACAACGTATTTTACATAAAGACTTGAGTCTATAGGTTAGTAAAATTCAGTTAACACAAAAAGTGACCGTTGTGTCTTTGCTGTTTGTATCCTTGAAACGCATGAAAATGATTCGGCATTCAAGTGAAAAAGCCTCCTGACTAGCGGTACCCATTTCCACCTCGATGGTTACGTCAATAAGTAAAACTGTCGTAATGAGACTTGGAAAACCAAAGATTTATTGTTCAAAAGTCTCTCCATACCCAACGTGTAACTATTTGGTGCGGCTTATGGTCCGGCGGGGTCGTTGGAGCTTAATTTTCGAAAATGAGGCTGAATTGATTATGAATTTTTAATGACCGCCGGAGTTGGATGGTATTAATCTGGACAACGTTTACTTTTAACAAGACAGCGATATCTACCACACAAGCAACGAAACTATCGATCTCATAAGGGACAAGTTTCCGGACTCTGTTATCTCTCGAATAGGTGATTGTAATTGGACACCTTGCGATTTCTTCTTTTGGAGCCATGTAAAAGATACAATCCACACGAAAAGACCACCGTTCTTTCAAGTCCTCAATGATGGAATTTGTGAAGTTGTTGAGAGAGATATAGAGAGAGAGATAGATAGATAGAGAGAGAGAGAGAGAGAGAGGGAGAGAGAGAGGGAGAGAGAGAGAGAGAGAGAAAGAGATCGAGAATAACAGAGAAAGAAAGAGAAAGAGATAGAGAGATGGGGGGGGGGGCCCTAAAGCAAGCACTCTTAAACTAATATACTAGAGACAGAAGTTCCTTGCCGCGGGCGGTTGATAATATTGATTCAAAAAGGTGTACCACCTTATTCTTTGGATCAATATCTAGATGACAATTCTGTTCAGAAAAATAGAAAGAAAAAGATATGCAGATTTATATATATATAGAGAAAGAGGGATATTCAGATTTTTATATATTATATATATAGACTGAGAGATATATAGAGAATGAAAGTGAGATATAGAAAGAGTGAGAGTGAAAGATATAGAGGGAATGAGAGTGAGATAGGGAGAGATAGAGAGAGAGAGAGAGAAAAATAGATAAAAGATTGAGATAGAGAGAGAGAGGCAGATAGAGAGAGAGTGAGAGTGAGAGATATAGAGTGAGTGAGAGAGAGAGAGAGAGTGAGAGAGAGAAAAAAAGAGTGTAAGAGAGAGAGAGTGACTGTTAGAGAGAGATATGGATAGAGAGATATATAGAGAGATAGATAAAGAAATAGATAGAGCGATAGAAAGAGATAGAGAGAGATAAAGATCCGAGCCGAGATCCGAGATTGAGGCATTTCGGATTAGCGAGTTGAGTTGGGTCTACTAAAACAATTTTTAATATTTTCTATAGTCAGCTTATATCCTTCCAAAAAGTGAGTACTTATGAGCCGAGCTCTTGAAAGGCCGTAAACAAACACCCTTTACAATATTTTTTTTTGCTTTCGCCCCTTTTTTGAGTCACTTCATAAGCAATTGTTGCTCAACGGAAAAATGATACATTGCGAGCTGGTAGCATCCATATATATACATATATGAGTATGATGCAACTGTAGTATGATATGGTAAGGTACATATATATGCATGTACACATAACTATATTTTTACGAGTAACATACTGGCACTTATCCTTGCCACATTGATATTCAGTAGTATAAATATGAAAAAAAAGGACTTAAAATAATATGTATGTATTTATATAGTGCTATGTAAATAATGGAACGTACGTGTGCATGCGAAATTTCATCTGCAAAAAAAAAAAAAAATTATGGCGAGAGATATGCGAATTCGTTTACAATACTTACATAGGATTGCACAAAGAAATTGGAGTCATCGCAATTTGACAGGCAATGACAATCGATTTTATGCCGGCTGGACTTGAGCGAGATGATTTCTCCTGAATTGGAATGAAATGGGGGAAAAATATTAAAATTTATTAAATTAAAAAAAAAAATAACTTCAAAAATACGTTCGTATATTAATAATAAAAAATGCAGTAAGCATATGAGGCCTGGTATTTGTCTTTTGAATGAGTTAAATTCTTGTATAACAGAGATAGGAATGAGAGAAAGAAAATGTGTAGGCTAATGGGCTCTTACTGTGCATTTATACATCTACTCTCGACTCTCGACTCTAGACTATGAACGTTAAACTCATTATGAGAAGCGAGACACACGAAGACCCACAGAAAAAGTTATCAGGGAATATACACGTACTTACACTGTCTGTACCTATACATAAGTATCACGACACTCTCTCTCTTCACCGATTATTTCCGATAATAGAGAGGTCACTTCAAATCACAGCTGATTGGGCTGAGAGTCGAGGACTCTTAATAATCCCGGTAGAGTCTGAAATCCGCCTTTTTTTTTTTAAAGAAAAACAAAAGTTCATCAAATCAATCCACTATCTTCAAGGGGTAACATTATAATTCCTTTCAACTCTGTTAAGTAGCTCGGTGTAATCCTTGATAAAAAAAAACGTAGGTGTACAGAATATATTGCAAGCAGGGCTAGTAAATTGAAATATCTACCTGCAGAAGATCAAAAGGAGCACCAGTCTGTTTGACGACATGAAAGTAGAAGCGTCATAGAAGGTGTAACATACCAGTCTACTTGGTATAGCAGGTTCGTTGTGGAGTACCTCAATAAAGGCCCTAGAAACCACCCTTGACGTTAAGCCAATTAACATACAAGTGATATATAAAGCAGCGCCAACAGCTCACCGCCTAAATGTTCTACATAGTTGAATCCAGTTCTAAAATTGTGAAGAAAATGTACTAAGAAATGGAAACCTTTTGAATTTGTGGAAGTCACCTGCTCCTTCGCTAGTAAGGAAGAATGGATGAAAATATCCAAATCTATACTGATGGGTCTAAACGTGGGGCAGGCACAAGAGCAGCGTTTTTCTTCTGTGACCATGATAATAACCAATGTAGTATAGCTTCAAACTCAATGTCTAAAACTTTGTATTCCACTTGGGATCCAGATTACACGAATATTGAAGGTAGTGAAAAGCTAGCTCCGCTGGCAAGGCTGTCAATATCAACTGACTCAAATCATACAGCGCCTTCCACTGTTGTTTAAAACAGCGGGCTATAAAGGAACACTTAAAGTTTTGGAACTCTTTGAAAGTAGAACTTACTACTAAATTCCTGTGGAATAGCGTGAATAGCAGACAGATCAAACTGTTACTTACATTAAGTAAAAGAAAACTTAGCATTCTTATGGGGTATTAATGGGTATCTATTTCCCTCTGATAGAGTATCTCCATAAGCTAACTTTACCGATTGAGACGTCACATCTTCCACGATGCTCGCAACCTCAACCTCCAACCGAACGAAACATAAACAATTATAACATAAACGCCTTATTGGGATACACGAGGGTCACAATGAGTGAATGGTTTAGATGCCGCCACTTGCAATCAGGTCCACAGCTTTCCTCTTTCAACCAACCAACAAACCCTTCAAGCTAACAGAGTAATTTGTTTGAATTTTATAAGGCCTACTCTGAGAGGTTTAAGCCTCTTTACTTTGCTTCACCTATCCAAAAAGATTGTGGACCCTGCTTAGCGTAACACTGCTTCCAGCTCACTCAAGAAGCACAGCTTGAGTAATCGTATTCAAAACGAACTACTAAACATAACTGCATAAGAGAGCTTTTCGCAAAAAAGCTCCAAAATAGACTCTTTGTACTGAGATCCATCGATCTTTTTGGTTAATTAAACAACTTACCATTTATCTCCAGAGACTTCCACTCATCAAAATTTTTCTTACTACATATTTAATTGACAGGCCGTGAACTCTATCGAAAGCTTTTGTAGTCATTAAGTTTCGATATTATCTCCAACTAATAGTCTCTAAATTAAGAAGGAAAGAGTTGGGTTACCTGTCAACTCAACCAACTTTATAAGAGAGAATATTAGGTTACTTTTAGTCATAGAGTTCCGTGAGTCTGTTGTAAGACTGACACACTTAGCTGACACACTTAGCCTTACAACAGACTCACGGAACTCTGTAACTAGAAGTAACCTAATATTCTCGTAAATTGCGGCTGTAAGGTGGTTTGCTTTAAACAAGAGGACTGAAATGTTAACCTCATAAACAGATCGCTGATGATTAATATAAGCGATGCAAACACGACCAAGTCAATCCAAGTCTTAAATGTAATCCTCAACATCTTTCTACTGGACTTAATGAGCTATCAAACTGCAGCACCTGCCGTTCTTCGTCACCAATTTGGACACTCTTGAAAGAGACAATTTCATAGCAAAGATCGCTGCTACTCAACTTTTGTTACTAATAACAAGTAGATTCCCCGAAAGGAACGGAAAGTCAAGATAAGTTCGACGATTCAGTCGATAGTTTTAAAGGTATATAAATACGAATGGATCGAAGTTCGATGGCAAGCGTAAGTATAAGTGTTTTCTCAAGAAACCACAGTTTGAGCTCTCTTATTTAGGCCACCAGGGAAATAGAGAGAAACTGCAATGCAGATAAGCTTGGCGGCTAAAACTCGAAAAAGCAAATTTTTCTCGATATTAATTTATAGAATTGAGATCACACTGTGATTTGAAGTAAATCTAGAAAAAATGGCTCACGAATTGAGATCGGAAAATATACTATCACTAAAGAGAGGACAGACCATTGCTTGAAGGGACGACATGCAGAAAGCTTGCAAGTTCCTTTTAACATATACAGCAGGAGCTGCCAGCTTGTTGTTGAGGCCAAAATGGTATTTTTTTCTTTTATGTGACCGACTTGCCTTGGATAGAGCTACGCTTCGATATCTAATTTCTTTGATGATCTTTGACATATATCAGGTGTCAAGGTAAATTATATACTTTAATACAAAAGTTGGATGAATCAGATCAATGTTGTGATATCACAAGAAGGCCGGGTATGTAATATCGGGTCGATTGCGCGTACAATGCTCAAGATGACTACACCTTGTTCGAAGAGCAGGTTCAAAATCTTACTTAATCTCTTGCTTTAGAGAACTTCAATCCAGGCGAAGTGTTCAAGTCACTTTTGTACTTTGAATTGGACTTAAACTTGATTGCTCTTCCGAGTTAATTGGGAAAAAGATTTTTATTTTTAGGCGATTGTCCAGGGCTTAACTAGGCAAGTGTTTTCTTGGCGCATCTACCTTAATGAACTACTTAAAGAATTGAGGGGTTTCTGAGTATGCTTTTGGGTTATTTCTGTAGGAGGTCGCTGTTGCTCTGGTTGATGATGTTTTTATTGTTGTAGCGGTTCGCTAACCCCGCTTAGGCACAGGTTTGATCAGTCTAAGTCGCCGAGGTCATCAAATGGGAGATCCAGGAAACGAGCTGTTTCGACGGAGTTGGACCAGAGGGAGAGGAAGATAGATGAGTTGGTTTGAGAGGGCATGTGAAGAGGTGGTTAGTGTCGTGCAGAGACTCTCCACATGTAGGGCATACGTTAGGTATGCTGGGGTCTAGTCTGGATAAGTAAGAGTTTAACCTGCTGCAATATCCAGACCTAAGCTGTGTCAGGGTCTCTGTTTGATGATGATCGGCTGGTATTAAATAATTGGTTTTCCTTATTTTTTTATAATATTAAAGCATTATTTCCTCTTAATCCGAAAGGTATTTACCTCGTTCTTTATTTGGAACCACTGAACACTTTATCGCTTGTTCGAGGTAAAAGAAACCTTCATTGCTTTCCCGCGCTGCCTCTTGAAGAACTATGAATATGGTTTGAAGAAGAAGGAAGTCACTTTAGAGCAACCACACTTCAGCTAATACACTAGATAGAGATTCCTTGCTGCAGATGACAAAAAACACAAATGAACTGTAGTAGTGAGAGCAGAATTCTTCCACCGTATGACGTCAGACATCTGGTACTCCGTTATCAGATACAACAAACTCTAGTTCCTGCTAAAGTTCGAGAAAAAGGCACTGAACATATCCGTTCTGTGAGAATTACTCTCTCTTATTCAATAACTGGAAATCCAATATTCAAAATTCTTAAAGCACAAAAAATCGACATTTATCATTATTCGTTAAGCGCTTGAGGGAGTAAGAAAGAGATTGTGTGTTTGCGTGTGTACTATGTGTTTGTGTGAGCTGGTAACTAATACTCAACATAACATAACTACTGTGATATGCAGCAATGAATGCCAAAATTTAGTTCCCTTTATTTGTATGTCCCTTTCCCCTCCCAGTAGCCGGGTAGAGGTCATGTACAAGTGCATGCAGCAGGTGTGCATACGAAAAATATCATTTTCAGTTCCATTATATATTATATATATGTACATATGTATCTGTATGTCTAGGTATATACATATACATATATGTATCTGGAGTTGCGTGTCCAGTACTCATTGCAAATGTGAAGTAGCAAACATTAACATGCCTGCGTGTCTTGTCTGTCTCCCTTTTTTAAGGCGCTCATAACTATCACGTCGGTCGGTCCTCCTTCTCTACTCTCTTCTCTTTTCTCCCCCTACAATGTTACAAGTGTAATAATTTCGTTTAAGATTTTTACTTGTTTTTCTAACTTTAGTTCCTGCTAAAGCTCGCTTTTTTGTGTATGTGGATTATTTCTTTTTTTTTGTTTTTTTTTGCTTGCGTTGACGACGTGTTTCGATGTCCGACTCTTACTCCACGAGCAAGTGAGCTCTGCAACACTTGAACGCTACCGTTCTACTTAATGCTTTGTTTTTGTTTCCTCAACACTTTTTGCTACTCCATTTTGTTGCCGACGTGCCGATTTGCAGTTCGTCGCGCCCTTGCCATCTCAACTCTAAAAGCTTTTGGCATATCTCACTGGGTACGTTTCGTGTGTTCCAAGTGAAATGATAAATATTTGTGTGTTTGTTAGAGAGGTGTTGGAGTGGAGTGCGCTCCCTTCCCAACTGAGGTAGGTTTGTCCGTTGGCTGTTGTTGGCATGTGGAATTGGACAAGTGAGAATTGTTGCATAAACGTACGGTATATCATAAGTACTCATGCAAGCTTGAGCATTTTCCGACAAAATGTGTAAATTGCATAATTTGTATATGAATTTTAATTTCCTTGCACCAACAGTGGCCGGTATATTATATGTTGAATGTTCAAAGCCGGTTGGCGCTCATTTATGTCGTGTGCATGAGTTGAATGGAATGAGCCGCACTTGCTTGAGTTCTGTTTTGATGGAACATGCGTTAAAGGTTTTAGAGTACCTCACCAAGCAGAGGAGGTTATGAGCGGATTGTTTAGACTAAAGAGTACTTTGGAAGGGTTTAGCTCCACTGGTACAGCCGAAGTAACAACATTGCGCCATTAATTTTCTCTCCTCGCAGTTTGGCGTCAATTGGAAATACCAAGTATAGCCAGGCTCCTCTCCATCGGGAGTTCTTCCTCTTTCTATGCTTCCACCGGCGGGCAATGCATCGAAAATTGATAAAACCTTTATCCATCTTATCCATCCGGAACACATACCTAGGCAGAGAAGCTTCGCTGAGATAAATCAATGTCGCCATATATCGTTCTATCGACTGTTTGCCGTTCGCAACTCTTAGAGGACCATAAATCTTACTCACAACCTTTCTCTCGAAAACTTCTAACGCCGGCTCATCAGATGTTGCCATCGTCCATGCCTCCGCATCTAGGACGGGAACAACGAGTGACTTGTAGAGTTTGGTCTTCGCCGAGGGCCGATCGCAAGTAGAAAATGTAATTTTCTCTAACTTGGGATGTTCGTCAAGCCGAGAATCAAACCCACTCCGCTCCCGCGTCTGGGTTCTTCCGATATGAAGACTCGACTGTCGTGGGAGCTATATATTGTATTTAAGGCACTTATTATGATAGCTAAGCTTTCTTGATTTTGGCATTGCCACAGCTTTTGCGATTATAGCCCACAACAACTTACAGTTGTTTCTTCTGTTTACCACTCGGAGACGCCAAAAGTTAGTTGCTTTTCCATCTGATCTTTCCAACGGAGTGGAGCACTTTCTCTATTTACATAGACGGCTCTAGTTTGTATTGCTGGAGTGCGCTCGCCCATATGGACAACCAAATTTAGCCAGCAAAAACGTTGTTGTTTAAACGACTTTGTCTTGATTCTCGGAACTACGCCAATGCGGTCCTACCGTCGTCCCCACCGTCTCTGATATTCGAAAGTTTCCAGCGCCGACTTTAAATATTTCGTCATTATCTGCGCAGTTGGACAGTATAGCAGTAGGGAATTAGACAGAAAGCAGAGCTTTGAGATTTCACCTTGTACTCGTTTACTACCAGATCCATTCGCCATACTTCTTTCTAGTATGTAGGGCTTCACATGTCTCTGGTTACAATATTCGAACCCTAGGTATGCTCAGCGATGCAGATCTCATTGGGCAGCTGGACTTATTTGTCGAATGTGGGTAATGCTTAAATTCCAATGACGTGTTTATAGGGGAGAGAGCTGGTGGGTATAACACCCTCACCCCGTGACTCTCTCTGCAGGGCGGTTAAGTTCTCTGTATGAGTCGTCAACAGAGTTAAATGGCCTCAATAACAAGATTAAGGTTCGAATTCTTTCCTTTACTACGGTTTCTTTTTTTGATTTTTTTAAGTGAAATAAAAACAAAATTTTACGTTAGTAAAAGCAATTAATTTTATCGAGGACATCTCTCGACGAGCTGTTTCGAAACGTACGGACTTAGTTAACGGATGGAAGTTTCAAGCGGGATAGGCATGTTGGGATGCGGCTCGAGTCTGAACAGGTAAAAATTTCGACTACTAGAATCTAATTTGTGCCAAAATAACACCGATCTCACGAAGCAGCTTAATGCCACTCTCTGTATTTTATTTAGCATGAAGTTGTTTAAGGGGAGAGAGCTGAAAAATTTGTCAAATGATTCTCACTTAAAGCCTGTCTGTAGATCATCAGCAGCAAATGGTGTTATCCACAGCTAGAGATCACCTTTAGAATAGGTCTCATTACTCTCTCTTTTACTTTTGTAATGTCATTAACACTTTTGCTCAGTTAATGTTAGGAGAAGAGGTAAAGAGTTTAGAGTTCCAGGAAGTAATTAAGAGAACTGTATTGCCTGGAATACTGAACTCAACTTATTTAAAATTTCGCTGTAAACAGATTTCTTTATATTTATTTCATAAATTTCTTTGAATTAACAAAAAAATTTTTATTGCAAAAATTTCCATATACCAAATTAAAATCCATTCAACAAAACATCCCAAAGCCGCTCTAATTGGCCAAAATGCGTAAATAGTTAAAATGCAAAAGAATTCAATCGAAGTAGATTTACAAAGATTTGAAATACTAAAAAATATATATTTATAAATAAACAATATAGGGTTATCAATTTCTTGGTTTCAAAAGTACTGAGCTTCATTTGGACATCTGGTAAATTTAACTGACAAACCAAACATGTTTCGTTTTAGTTGAAAAACAGACAGACAGCGTTAAAATTGTCAAAATCTTCTGCAGTTGATGGTGATGGTGATAAAAACCTGCCAATGTTTCATGCTTTGAGAGGAGATTTGGGTGCATATAATCGACCAACTACTCAAGAAATTGGTACAACCTTAAAGAAAATTAAAGATACTGTAACGTTTACATATATTGTATGACCTGCGCCCTTTCGCTTTGCTCGTTGCAATTAAAATATCGTTACTGTAAGAGAAAATGCAGCCGAAGGCCCGAGTGCGTCTCGACGTTTTCAAGGGCTGAGACTTTCTTACTGCACATTGTGGCGTTTGCACTCGAACTCACATCTACATCCATATCAAGCCCAGCTCTTAGAATAAATGTTGTCAGCTGATCATTCAGAACGTCGTACATATGTCGATTGAGTGCTTGAAGGCAACAAACGAACTAAATTTTTCGACGAATTGCATTTCTCACTCGAAGCATACCCAAATAAGCAAAACTGTCATAATTGGGGCTCCGAGAATGCTCAAATAATCGAAGAGCGGTCATTGCACCCAAAAGGAAAACTTATTATTTGGCACTTCCTTTGGTGTGGAGATTGAAAACGACAACGGCGGGCCTCTCACTGTCAGTTCGAAGCGTTATGATCGTATGATAAACGACTTTTTCTGGCCTGAAATTGAAGAACACGACTTGAACAATATGTGGTTTCAACATAAAACAAGCGAATATGGCTCCATATTGAGAATCTCGCGTTTTGGTGATGTCAATTGGCCGCCGAGATGGTGCGATTTGACACCGTTGAACTTTTTTTTTTGGGGCTAACCGAAAGACCGTCTTTCTGCGTATAAATTCTTGCGTACTTGAAAACCAATTCTCGTCAAGTTAAGGCTAAGATACCGCCTAATATACAACAAGTGTTCGAAAATTACCTCAAATGGAAAGAATTTCGCAGAATTTCTAAACGGAAACTTTATTATAAAAAAATAAATAATTAAAAATAAATTTCATGAAAAAAAATATTGTTTTAAATGGATTTTATTGAAGCTTATTTTCTAAGCCGCAAACTGGATAATCCTCTATAGAAAAATCGTAAAAATTTTTAATTTCACTATTTTCTTTTTACTAACATAATTTATTACGACATTTCAAAAAACATATCAAGCAGATTTAAATAATTTCTTTTCAATTTTTTTGCCAATCTTAATCTGCTCTCTTTGTTGTTATACAAAAACTAATTAGTTCAATACTTACTTTTTATATCCGCCAAACAGGACAAGCCAACGAAATCGCAAATTGGCAAAATACGGCCTGTTTTCACTTTTTTTCGCCCCGACGATGATGATGAAAAATCCGAAAATATTTCATTTGAAATAAATAAATTTATTTATTTTATATCTGCACACAAATAAGCAATGAAATATAAAAATAAAGTGAAAAATAGAGTAATTTTTTTTTTAATTTAGTGCCAAGCGTTAGCGGTGATAATCCATTTTAAAATTGAAACTCAGTAATGATTTAAAGCATACATTTCGGCGCTAGGCAAAATAATGAAAATAAAAAATCATTTCTATATAAATTACCAATTAAAAATATTTTAATTTGCTGGCAAAAAATATTTCCATTGAAACTAAAAACACAGTTATACAGTGGCGGCGCTGGAGGGAGACGCCAGCGCTGCTGTGTTGGCGCCTAAATGTTGTGGCAGTGGCAAAAATTATTGGCTGTATTTATGTACATATGTACATATAAGCTTTTCGATGCTGCGTAAAGCAAATACCAAGAAGATAACTGTAAAATTGCGAAATAAAATTTTAAATAAAAATTAAAAAAAAAAAATAATAATAAAAGAAATAATTTAAAAAAAATTATATATATAAAATAAATGAGTATCAAATGTTGAAACGCAAAATGTAAATAAAAACATTTGTTTAATATTCAAAATGGCGTCAATGATTTTTGGCAAATAAATGCGTTGTCATTTGCAACAACAACACGCCATGCATACATATATATAAGTATGTATGTGTGAAAAAAACAATACAAATATTCGTCGAGCGAAAAATAACAGCGCAATGAAAACAGAAACGTAAATGGTTATTTTCATAACGGCATTCTAATGGCTTATTGTTATTTGAACTCAACATAGCATAACGGTTTTTAATTACATACGTATATATAGCGGTATGCCATTTTTTGCATTTCTAATTAATTTAATGCTTTTTAGCTTTCATTAAGTGTAATTGTGCCAAAATTACTCACTCACGCCGTCCACGCGCTGTGCAGGGTTAATATTAAACATATACAAACACACACACACAAAGATACATACAGTACATACAGTATACTCACATCGGTTACGATAGAAATGTGGTACACAACCACACACTCTCAAAGCGAAAAACATGCGGCACTCGGCTAAGCATAAGCCGAAACTATAAATGGGCGATGTTAGCATCTCATCGGCCTCGTATTGATAACGGCATTTGCGTTGTTTGGTGGTGAAGCTGCGGAGGTAATTAATTCAAATTCAAATTAAATGCTTGTAAAATGTTTAGCATAATTTTTTAGTGTTTCGAAGCGTGTTTATTTACTCTGCCGGTATGTAATCTGCATTTAAGTATATATTATATATATATGCAAGTAGGTGAGGTTATGTTGAAAGTGTTGCAATTTTATTATATTAACTCAGCTCTGATGAATAGATAGCCGAATGAGATAATAAGTAACTGGGCAAGTGGGAGATACATTTAAGAACCTGCCGCCTTTACTTTGGCACAACCGAGCTTTGGTCGAGAGTCAAGAGACTCAATATATTGTCAAAGGTGGCGGGACGAAAAGATCGGATGGAAATTTTAATCGATACCCACGTCTCTCCGGAATCGAAGAAGCGGGTGAGCTATTCTAGGCGGCTTTTTACACTGCATGCTTCGGTTGACAAAACGCAGCGACAAGTAGTTCTCTGGTTACGTTATCGCGGTGCTTGATTGCTTTAGGGAAGAGTCGATACCCCTCCCCCTTCAGTAACGAAAACATTTTAGACCTTCCTAGTTCAGTCTTTAGCTCACCTCTTGAACCCAGCAGCACAACAGCACGGTTTTTGATAAATGCCCAGTACCACATCCGCACTTAATGCCTTAAACAACACTCGATAGCATATGACATTAAACGAAATTGACCTTCCGTGAATGCTTGTGGTAGCACTGAATCGGCTAAAACCCTTTGATGTGGTCGAATACGTACCGTTACTCCTGCATATTGAGGAATACTTATAACCTTATTGCGGAGGGTGGTCAAAAAATTACCTGCGTCGTCGACAGTCATCGGTAGAGTGTCAAATTTCCGGTTACGTAGAGTGGTGTGCTTTCCATGCTCTTAAGCATTGTGAAAAGTAGGGTTCAAGTCCTGGTTCGATCGACGTCCAAAATTATAGAAAATTAACTTTTCTATGATAATACGTTCGTCCCGCGGCAGGAAACATCAAGCCCTCCGAGTATAGTTCTGACATGGACCATAAAAGCTCTTCATAACCATTCACCGTGAGTCCATCAACACCTAAACGTGAAGAGAGTACTCGGCATCCAACTACCACTCCAGAATTCTAGCTGCTTCGCGGAATCCGAGTAGTAGGCTCAACCCCTCCTAATCCAGACTTGTCCCAGCCATATCCATACTGTGCATGAAGTGAGTCTCCGTACGACACTAACTACCTCTTTGCATGCCCATAAAACATACCCAACTTATCAAAAAACCTTCTCCCACTGGTTCCAACCCGTTGAAACGGCTCGTTTCCTGGATCTTCCGTTAGATAACCTTGATGACCTAGACTGTTTTTGCTCAGGAGCATGCGGGGGCAACTTACTTACTATACATCCAAACATACGAGCCCATATTTATGGCTATTTTCAGAATGACGAAGATTGCAAAAGAATATCTCATTAGAACGTCTTCTAATTAGTCGCTCCACTTCAAACTACGTTCCAGAATTCCTCGACTGAAGCACCGGCTGCAACCTATTTGATTCGTTCAAAGTCATTCGTAGAGAATTAGAAAAATACAAGTAAGGTAAGGAAAAGCAATTCCATAGAAATGAAACAAAAGAGAATAATCCAGCAGATACAGATAAAACTTGCTCATCTATCCAATCGAAACTACCGACTAAGTGAGAGTCACAAAGGGGTAAGAGAGAATAATCTAAGGAGCACAAAAACGGAGAGCTCAGAGGATAGAGAGGAAAACTAATAAATTCTGTCTGCATCCGCATCTTTGTTACATTAGCTCACTTCTTTGCTAAACCAAAAAAAGAAAAAATAACAGGATCCCGGAACCTTGAAAAGTATGCTTAAGACCAGAAAGTTTCCGAAAATTGTCCTCTTTTTTGTTAAGTTGGCAGCACTGTCTTCAATTACTATGCCAAAAAAGAGCGCCATCTGACAAACCAGATTGCTTGCAGCAGCTGTTGAAATCAGTCGACCTCAGTTCCATCTGCGAATTTTCTTTTACAGCTTCATTCGACTCGAAAAGGGTTCCACGTAATGGTAACTTGAGTTCTGAGAACAAAAAAGTGCAGGGCGCCAAATCCGGTGAATACGGTGGTTGATTGATGGTGTTGAACGAATTTTTGGATCTTAAAATCGTATACAACTACAGCTCGGTGCGGCGCATTATCGTCATGAAAGTCTCTTCATTATTGGAGTTCATGATGAACCACGCCACGAAGATCGAAAAAAAAACAATTTTCAGAAACTTTCTGTTCTTAATCTTATTTTATTTCCACACTTACGCTCGTGCCTCCTCGGCTGTATAAATCTCCAACGCGATTAATTCGACTGTGGTGTAATCGGTTTCCGGAAAAGTGTAGCGTTGCTTAGATATATTCGGTATATCGCCAGCGCCGTGAAAGTAGACATCGTATGCCGTAGAGAGATTGATAATCTGCGCATAAATTTCACCATCCAAAGGATGTACGGTCACGCGGTCACCATGATCCAAGATATTCCAATCATTGCGTTTCCAATAGCTGATAGGAGAGGCAAGGAAGAGGGAGTGTGAGAGAGAGAGAGAGAGAGAATAAGTGTTATGTACTGTTCGATAAGAAAACGGGTCTTGTACGAGAAGAGTTTCCAAAATAGTAGTTTAAAAATTAAGTAAGTTAAAGACTAAGGAAAGTCTAACTTGCTCAGCGAGCTCCATTAAAGTGGTGAACTCCTGTTTCGTATAAGCTTGAGGTAGCTAGAGAGATTTTCCCTAGGAGTTCAAACAAGTATGAGATTACAAGATCCTTTGAACTAGGTTGAGACCGCTAAAGTGCGATAAAAAGGATATGCGGGTTATAAGATTGTCTTTTCGTGAAGAACTAACAGAGTAACTGCACTAAGATTGAGAGCTCATTATATTGCGAAAAGAAGCTCTCTCTCATGCGTTTGAGAGATATTTTTAAATTAAAGTAAGAAGAATGAATTCTTGTGTACTCCAGAAGCTCCTGTTTGAATAAGTTCATAAAATTATATTAACGAACAGTAGTCTTTTGAAGTAGGGTGAGACCAAGATTACCGCTCCAGCGTGTTGAGATGGACCTTTGGGTTACAAGATTTCCTTTTTATGAAAAAGTAGCAGAGGAGCTGCTTGGTATTCAAGAGTCCCTTACTTTAGTGGAAAGAAGCTCGCTAAGAACGCGTTTGTTATATTTTTCCAAGCTAGAGTAAAGAGAATGAGTCTTTGTGCACTCCAGAAGCTGCTGTTTGAATAGGTTTATAGACATTAAAGAAGAATAGCCTTTCGCACTAGAGAGGGGCCAAGCTTACTGTTCTTACGCGTTGAAGATATTCGGGATTTAAGATGCTGATCTAACCTCAAGAGTCCATTACTTTTGTGGAATGCATCTCTCTCTGAGTGTGTTTGAGAGATTTTTTTCAACTAAAATTAAGCGAAAGGAGTCCTTTGTAGGCCGGAGAGTCTACTGCTTGACCCGAAGTGATATCGCCTTGGAACGAATTGGCTACTTAAGGTTAGATGATCTCTTATGCTGAAAACGAAATCGGAAAGGGTCTTGCAAACTTACTCATACGAATTATAGCGCGCCACAAGCGAGTTTACCGAATGACAAATCCCAAACTCGGTAAGCGTTTCATAGATATACATCTGCACAGCGGCGCCACTACTCATCTCCGGTTCGAAATTCCATTTGAGCTCATATAATAAATCCAAATACTTGCTGCTCGGTATGCCAAAAGTTTTATTACGCGGCAGCGTCTCAATATTTTCATAAGTGAGACGAGCCAGCCGTTCGATGAATACGCGGAAGTCATCACGATCTTGATCGGTTTGAAAGGTTTTGGGATAATTGCTTGCGGAAGAAAAGAGAATATAAAAATATTTTCATTGAAGTTTAATTGTAAACTGAAAGCCACTATTACTACTCACTCCATGTAATCTTCAACTTTCAACTCATCGGTACGCTTGTGCGGACAGACGGTGAGCGAGGGGAAACTCGTATTCCAAACCAATTTATTACGATCCATTGATATGACCATGGGTGAAGTTTGAAAACGTTCCCAAGTACGTGTGCTCAATGAAATAATGGCGAAGAGTGCCACACAAATGAAGGCGAACCAAAGCATTCTGGTAATAGAGAGAGAGAGAGAGAGAGAGAGAGAGGAAGTAAAAATAAGGAGATAGAGTGTAATGTATGTAAGCAAAAACGGAAATATGAAACGGATGGAATTGTTAGAGCGCACAGCAAGTGAGCAACTTCCTAGTAGTGTTAGTGAGTGTGTGAGAGTGTGAGTGTGAGTGCGTGTATGACTGAATATGCTCTTCTCCACTCGCGTGTATCTGTTTGTCTATGCTTTTTCCGCTTATTCCGTGCTTAGCTGCCTCTGCTTTTGGTTGATGTGAATGACCGGCCGTAAAATGGCGTCATAACTCCGAAATTTTTCGCGCATTCATAAAAATCTATTGCGTGTAAATTTATATGATGGGTAGTTTTGTGCGCTGTTTTTACTTCTTTCCCTTTTTGACGATTCATAAAAATTGCAAGCCGCAAAAGGCAAAAGGCAAAAGTCAAGTCAACAAACTGTAAATACGAGTGTGACTTTTGTATGCGTGTGTGTGTGAGGAAGTAATAAAATTTCTTTTTTTTTAGCGAATATGAAATGTGTAATGCATAATTTGCAAAGTTTTATTCAATGCTGGGGCCGGAAGAAACTTTCTAAATTCAAAACCGAAAGAAAAAACTTTAAAATTAAACAGCAAAGTTTGGATAAAAAGCTTGAAAGCTTGAAAGTCTACTAAGCCGACGAGAAAATATATTTAATATTTGGATTGCTTGTGAATTGGATACGCTTTATGATACTTGAAGTGTTGCTATAGCTGAAAGTAGTCTCAAACCTCTCGGTGTTGCCCTCTTGAAGGCTGTGTTCTACCTCCGGCCAGTTGGGTTCCGAGTACTCTAAACGGAAGCTCGAATTAGGATTCATTTTATGCCATTACAATATCATTTCGGCTTCTGATTTCATCCGACTATAATGTGATTTTCTGTGCCCGCAGTGCCGAGGACGAAATCATGAATTTATTATCCGATAAATTTGATGAGCTTTATTAGTAACTTAAGAAATTCAGCAGTGGGATATATACGGACGCATGAAAAATATTAACTCTCGCAGAAGTGCTGAAAGAGCAGGTTTACACCTCTAACTCCAGTAATACGGGAATCATTTCTGAGTGAGTATACTGACACAACTAAAATCTGCATATTGTTGTCGACTAAACTCTTGCCTTTCCAGACTTGAATCCGACATATCCAGTGTATCTTTTGCAGGCAATGAATCTCCGCACGACACTAACCACCACCTTGCATTTGCACTAAAACCAACACATTTGACCACCCTTTCTTTCCCGTCGAAAGAGCTCATTGCCTGGACTCTTCCTTAGATGACCTCGTTGACTTAGACTAAATGAGGATAGTGTACCGATACAACAACAACAAGAACCACGCTCCAAGTATGTCTTTGAATAAACTTTTTTCCAAAAGGAATGAATATGAGAAAACATTAGCAGTTAGCCGGAGCCATCTTTACAGAATTAAACTCGATGAAAATAAGGGCCGTGGAATTCACTCTTCTAGCTCTCACCCAGGCCTTTGCAGCCTCTATCAAGCTAAGCCCTTTGTAACCCCGCAGATCATTCTAGACCGGTTCGCCATTAACATAGAGACGCAAAACCACAAATTGAAAGAGGAGCTCGACGTAAAAGGCTATAGTATCTGAAAGCTGCCTTCCATAATGAATTGTTTACGACAGCGGACGTACGGTAAATTACTTAATGAAATTTACGAAGAAATCGAGGTGAAGCTTAATGATCGGATCAACAACGTGGACTTACTTTCTCCTAGTCTGGTCTGGAGTTCCGATGCTCCAGCTTCCATAGACATTGTTATCTACCTAACCAACATAAAAAGTCTCATTGGTAGAATCTCTTACTAGTCCCTCGTAACATTGGCACAGGTTTATGGGTTTATTTAAGCTCTAACTGATTGATTTGACGATTATTTTGTGTGGTTCGAGTCAATGAACAGGCTTTTGTTTGAGGTTGTCGCATAGTATGAGTTAGTCAATGTTTTTTAAACAATCTCCAATGACTGTACTCGTCGCATACTTATTGACTGAGGAAGCTCTCGTCATCATTCCCTATACGCCTCGCTTGCTTTTATTAAATGGATGGATCTAAGAACCTTTGACAAACCACCCTTGCTGAATCTAATATATTTAGTTCATCTTGACATTTATTTCATATTTTTGACTCAGGAAATCACAAGTAGATTGGATGTCATAAAAAGTATTTATTTCCTTAAAAGCAGTAATGAATGGCTTCGTTGAATTTCTTGCCGGGCGGCAACTGAAAGCACGAAGGCGCAGGTTTGTTACCGGTGACCCAACTGGACTGAAAGTAATCGGATGATGAATGAGAACGACTCTTGATTGAAGAATGACGAGAAGGTGACTACAGTTGGGTCCTCTTTAGCTGATCCAGAGACGGAGAATATACATCACTCGTGCTTTTTTTTTTTTTTTTGAAACTCAATAGAATAAGAATGCCAAGGAGGTATGAGGGCCAATGGTGGTCTCTTCAGTATATAAAGAAAAGAGCACGAAACGAGTAGATTAGATTCTAGTGAAAAAAAGTATTTACACCAAAGCTTAATGATATGAAATTAGTACAAAAAAGATATTCTAAAATGTAAGACCATCTTTTTTCTTTCTTTCTTCTTCGAATTCAAGATTTGATAAGACTATTCTTAGATCAATTTTTCCACAGACATCTACATATATTTTTATTTTTCTCACATTATGCAATCAATGACGTCATTTGCTTTTACTGCTTCAAGTAGAGGAAGACATTGTTTTAGACAGAAAAAAATATTATTCTCACATACTTACATACATATACATTCTAACACATTATAAACTCATATCAGTACGCATCGTCACATTTTCAGAAGAAATCTAAAATCTTACGCACACCCAAGGGGAGTCTCTCAGCCGCCGCATGACACTGCTAGTTGTCGCCACAACGGCTCATAAAGCCTTTCGACAGCGTGTACGAAACCAAGTGAAAAGCAATTGTATTTTGTGCTTTACGCCATTTCCGCGCAATGATTTGAGAAAAGTAAAAGAATGTGTTAAGCTGCAAAATGGGTGGGGCGCCAACAAATTACCCCTTTCGGCAAGAGAAAATGCTTTGGTACATATATCTGCAGTCAATTAGGAACTAGTAAGCAACTACTTCGAAATTAGTATGCCACGTAAGCTCAACTTATTCAAAAGTAAGGGAACGCACAGGATATAGATGCAGCAGCTCCTCCAAGTAACACTTCAATGTAATAAACTAGCTTCGAGCGTTCATCTCCTCACTCTGAAGAAGAAGTCGTTTATCGTGGTGTTGTTGCAGGAACCATGATGCCGAGGACACAAAAAACATTGACCTACTCTGTGTAGAGTAAGCAGGCTGAGTGAGAGCTGCGTAAGGAGGAAAACAATTTTTATATTTCAACTGATTTCAATTAGGCCATGCCGGTAGAGGTTGTACAGCGGGAGAAGTTGGTGTAATTATCCGTGCCACATGCTAAACAACCCATAATATTACGACTCCTACAAACGAACTGAAATTACTGTGAGTGGATTCTCATGGGCTAAAGTGAGCTCAACCGATCCAGATTCTAGCGAAGGCTCTACTAACTCTCGCCCAATAAAAGATGGAATCGGCGTTCGATGACGGGTAATGTGCCAAAGGGATATTTCTTGACACATCAAATATTAGCCAATCCCAGCCATCAATCCTGAATAAACGGCGGACTAAATTGCAGGAAAATTTATGATCAATGGAGTAGTGCATAGAGGCACACTACAAGTGTGACAGTCCTTGGCCGGATAAAAAATCCGGGTCGTTCCGCTGTAAAGACCCGACTGTCGCGGGAACTATTGGATTTTAATCACATCTTACGACAGAGATGCCTTACCACGGCTAAATTCTTGAATCCCTAACCCGCAGGAAAGCGTTCAGCTCCATTGCAAATCAGAACAGTCAATAGTACGGCTAACTCAGTGGGACTTAATATCAATGCTAATAAAATGGATCCAGTCCTACCAATGTATCTGTATAGGGTCTATTGACCATTGATGATCAGCACCACCTCGGCACTTAAGTAAGATAAGGAGAGGAGTATGCAGGAGCAGATTCAAAGGCGGCTCCAAAAGGGCGAAAAAGATAATTCGAGTTTGTTTGCGAGGCGAATTAATGTGTGGGTTTTCGAGTACTCTAGGATTTTCATCCGCATGAGCCTGTGATATAGTTCCCTCCACCACTTAGCAATAACAACATTTGTAGAATTGAATAATCTTCCGCGTCTAAATGTAGGATCCTGCCAAAGGTCCTTATTTACAATTTAAAGCACACAAAATTATTGCGGAACTTTAAACGGAGAAATTAAATCCTAATTAACTCACATCGAACTCCGAGTGGATGCGCGAAAAAATTTTATCTCTCATTCCGCAACCTGATGCGTGCATACGTTCGAAGCGCGCTCATTTAACCACTAATGTACAGAGTCTATTGTCCGAGTTTTTCTCCCTCTCTCTCCACTGATAACTGAAACTCGAACTTCATCAAAAAAAAAAATAAGAGTAGTAGAAAAGTAGCAACAAAGCGCTTAATTCAAATTTCCAACTTTAACCTCTAATAGTAAAAAAAATTTTGGAAATGATTTTTTTCCACTCTTCTATAGAGATGAAAGTAACGGAATATATTAACCAGCGGCGTTCTGTTAGTTGCCATGGCGAGATTCCCAGGAAACTCTCAGATATTAATAAGCACATAGAAATATATGTATATATACATACATAAATACATACATAAATCCTCGGGAAAGGTCACACATGTGAAATTTCAGCACCCATATACATATACATATGTATTTGCATACCTGCATACCTCATAGTAAAATAAACTAGTAGTAATCTATTTAGGAATTGGTATGCCATGAACCAGTTGGATGTGCATCTGCTGTAAATCATTGGTATTCAAAAAGCGTGGCTTTCAAAAGAGAAGAAGAAGAAGGCAATACA